CCTACATTTGCACCGCCAGAGCATGGCTATTGATGGCTGGTTTCTCCTTGGCCTTTGGTTCCATGTTCTCCAAAACATGGCGAGTACACTCGATCTTCACCGATGTTAAGCTCAACAAGAAGGTAAGGAGAGAGGGTGAGAGGGAGAGTGCGAGAGAGAGAGAGAGAGAGAGAGAGGGAGAGAGAGAGAAGAGAGAGAAAGAGTCGGTCGTGGCTGTCGCATTCGCCTTGATCGCAATCGCGAATCGTAACGTCTATTCTTCGTTTCTCGTTTAGGTGATAAAGGATTACCAGTTGTTCATGGTGGTCGGCGTATTATTGGTTATCGACTTTGGGATTATGACGACCTGGCAGGTTGCGGATCCGTTTTACCGGGAAACGAAACAAATGGAGCCCTATGTAAGCTCGCGACGATGCTGGTGGTGTTTAACGCGAGGGCAAACTACTTCGCGTATACGTACCTACAGGCGTATAAAATGATACGCGTACACGCGAAAGGCGTGTAATTGAATTTAAAGTCGCGTTCTCTTTCCTTTCGTTTCAGCCCCATCCTTCCAGCGAAGATATCATCATAATACCGGAAAACGAGTACTGTCAGAGTAATCGAATGACCATTTACTTAGGATGTATATACGCGTACAAAGGTCTGTTAATGGTAGGTAATGTTAAAACCGGACGATCGATTCGAGAGACGGAGATGAGACGATTACGATACTTTCCAAAGCGACGAGACGAGAAAGTGAAGCAAGCCGAACGATGTTTCACGACGCGATCCACTCTTCCAGATATTCGGCGCTTTCTTGGCATGGGAAACCAGGCACGTTAGCATTCCGGCGTTAAACGACAGCAAATACGTCGGAATGAGCGTATACAACGTGGTGATAATGTGTGTCACCGGGGCGGCTATAAGCTTCGTGTTGGCTGACAAACAAGACGCCATGTTCATTATGTTGGCGATATTCATAATATTCTGCAGCACCGCTACCCTATGTTTGGTTTTTGTACCAAAGGTACATTTCTCTACCGTACGGTTACCCTCCTCCTCCTCCTCCTCCTCTTCCTCCTCGAGCCGGTATAAATAAGACACCTATTGCTCTTCTTTCCCACGATAGCTGATAGAATTGCGAAGAAATCCCCAGGGTGCGATAGACAAACGAATCAGAGCCACTCTCAGGCCAATGTCGAAGACGCGAAGGGACTCGAGCGTCAGCGAACTGGAGGAACGTTTGAAGGAGGCCACGTTGGCGAATCAAAAATTTCGTAAGCAACTGTTGGAGAAAGATTCGGAGCTTCAGGTAAGCGAGTGTGTACGCTCGCGGTGGAACGAAACGCGTGGAGCGAACGATCGTGTATCGTTTGCAGATGTTCCTGAGAAGGCTCGACGATCAAACCGCGTCTGACGCGCAAGAAGCGGTGGACAGGCTAACGGTACCGAGACAGGAGGGAACAACGGTGAAGAAAGAGGGTAAGCGCGATACGTAACCATCACCTTTGTTATCGACCTTTGTTATTCGTTATTCGGCATCGTCTCCTATCCCGGTTCGTTTTTTTTTTCGTTTTATCCTAGGCCTCTCCGTGACGACGGAAACAACGGACATTTCGATGTCGATGTGTAGCCTGAATTCGACCACGACCTCTCAACCGGATGGTGTCGACTACGCCAACACGATCATCGCCGAACAGCAGGCGGTCAAGTAAGAAGTACATTAGGATCTACGCGACTGTTATTAGACGACGCGATGAAAACGGTACCCTTTCCCCGTTGCTGTTAGGAAGAAAACGTCGTTCTCGAAAGTGCCGGCGATCGCGATCGACAGCGAACGAGTTCCGTTGGTTCCGCAAACGCTGGAAAGCATCAAGGGTGTGACAGTGACGTCGGCTTCTTTATCGTCCTCTACGGCACCAGCCTCGGTCTTGAAACACGCGCCGGATGATTCTGGCCGTAGGAGAAGTCGTTCGTCTGGACCTGGAAAAGAAAGCGAACCTCTTCTTACCGAGAAAAGTCCGGACTCGCGAATGGACGCTGGTAAAACGAACGTCGAGTTCGTGCCGGAAATCGTCGAGGAGGGCGACGCCGTTATTCTCGAAGAGACCGAGATTCCCAGGCACGGAAAATCGGTCAGATGCAAAGACGATCGTAGGTCTAGGCTACCGACGCCTCCACCCACGAAGAATGTCTCGTTTGGCGAACTTCACGAGCAGAACTACCTGGAACAGGCGATTCTGCCACCTCCGTTGCAGTTCGTGCCCAAACATCGACATTCCGGTGAGAGAATACGGGTCCTCTTCTCGATTTATTCCACGTTCACCGATCGTAACCGATCGCGAATTCGCGCCTATCTGCCCGATTTATCCTCTAACGAGAATCTAACCGTTCTTTCGCTTCACCGTTAGTTTCAGCGAGCAACGCGTCTGCCCACCACTCGCTGAAACGAAGATCGTCCGTGAAGAACAACGGAATGGCTCATTCCCATCACGAATTGTTCCAAACTCGGCGGACCAGCGTACCGGCCAATTGTATCAGCTACATTTCCACCGAGAACGTATCCAAGTCCGAGGCAACGGAGATCTCGCTGAACTCCGGCCTGGATAAATCCTACGTTATCGGCGAATGCGGTCATCGGCGAGCGTTGCTCACCGGCACTGGCTATCGTTGCGAGAAACACGGCGGACGAGGAGGTCATGCCCGCGCGATGTTGAACGGTTCGGCGGAAACACCGCCTCCGCCAAGGAGGCAAAGGAAACACTACGACTCTCAGAACGCCAGTTCCCCGAGCGTACCTGCGATGGTGAACGCGAGTTACTCCGATACCGGTGAGCACTTGCTACCCCTTTCTACCTCCGTTCCTTCCATTCGTTCGATCGAAACGGTGGTACCAAACGGTACCTCCTCTCCTTCTTTCATACCTTTACACGGTTATATACGCCTTTTACACGGCGTTTCGCGATGCACCGATTCCGATAATATGTTCGCAGAGAAATACGAGGAATCCATGTCGACGATCATTCAACGATCCGTGTCCGAGAGATCGCGGGAAAAGTGTCCTCGGCTACGAAGCGAGGGACACGCGATGATCGAATGCCCTCATCGCGCCACCCGTCGGATACGAGAGTGCAGGCACACCGAGTCGAAACTTCGACAGCAGGCTCGCCTGGAGTACGTGCAGAGCACGCCGAACGTCGCTACCATTCACAACAACAAATTCGCTAGCGCGAATCCGCGCGGCGGTGGCGTGGCCGGTGGCGGTGGCAGTGGTGGTGTGGCCGGAAGTGCGAACGGCCCGGGAACGGCCAGTTCCGTGACCGGTAGCAGTACAGACGTTGTCGGTGGTTCCGCCGCGAACGTCTCGAAAATGTATAGCGCCGTGTCAGACGGCGAATTGCTCGATCTGGCCATATTGCCGATCTTTCAAAAGCTGCTCACCGAGAGGCACAAAAGTTCCTCGAGGGCCGGCTACGGCGCCAGTGTAGCCAGCTGTCCAAATATATCTATCAAATGCGACATCGTTGAATACCTTTAACGATCTTCCAACGATTAGTTTCGAATATCGTCTGCCGATTTCGCTCTCTCCCTCTTTTCTTCGCAACTACCCCTCCCTCTCCCGATCCCGATCTTTTACTCTCTTTACGGCCTTTAAACGCGCGCAACGTCTATCGCGAAACGCGTTTGCCGACAATCCAGATTACGATTACATCCGCGAGCAATCGTCCGTTCCTTTCTCGAGCCTGCCTGCCTACCTTTGCGATACACAGACACACACTCTCTTCCTCTCTCCCTCTCTCTCTGTCTCTCTCCCCCCCCTCTCTCTCTCTCTCTCTCTCTCTCTCGCCAAACGTTTGTACAAGCAGCGACACGGCTCTTTCGATATAATATGTACGTAAACGTATATATAGGTATTGTATAAGCGTACGTTGAACCTAACGCGTGCACTCGTGCTGCGTGCACTCGTGCTAGGTGCACGGAGGAAAAGGAGAGAAACCATGTCAGCGGATTAACGAGAGGATGCCGGCCTCTGTTCCACACGCTCGAGAATCTGTTAGTTTGTTCGGTCGACGGATCGAATCGATTTAGAAGCGATTTAGAAGCGATTTAGAATCGATGAATTATAGAATGGAACGAATAGCTCGCGGAATTGTACGAAAAGCAGCTGTGCGGCCGCATTGCTCGGCTACGTCGTCGGCGCTGTAACACGGTGGTTCCTCTTCCAAACTTTTGCCGATTTTCCTTTCCCCGTCTCGATTCTCGTCCCGACGACGACGATGAAACATCGTCGTGCGAACGATAAAATGGCACTTGGCACCTTCCTGATTCGCGACAGAAGAACAGCTGACTATAATAAGGTAACGCATCGTTCCGAGATACGGCATCCCGTGTTTTTTATCGCACGAAACTACGCGAGAACAGAGTTTGTCATACGAAAAGCGTTGCACCGGTTTTTCCGAATGGAAAAATGAGAAACGATAGCCAATATCGAAACGATCGTAGGAAAGAATGTTAGCGTATGCGTCTAATCTCTAACTCTATCGATGTAAGCGTGCGTAATCGTTTTAAATAATTTTATAGCGTGCGAAATTCGTACAATCGCTGTTTAGCAATTCGAAGGATAGACATACGAGTCGAAAAGTTCGAACGTTTTATAGTATTTTCTCTCGCATTCGAGAGAGACAACTTTTTTTTACGTTATACCGAGTCTCTCCTTAAGACAAAAAAAAAGGAAATAAAGAAGAAAAAATAAAAGATCAAAAGAAGAAAAAAAAAAAAAACGGAAAAAAGACGTAGAAAAATGAAAAACAAAAAGGAATAAAAGAAAAGAAAAGGAAAAAAACATTCACGTATGTTGATTTACGTCGCAAATACGAGTTCGTGTCATATTACATCATATTTAACGATCTTCTTACTACTGTACCTCGACTCGACTAATTCTAAACTGATTGTTATCGATTTTCGAGACAGCTCAAAACGCATTAACGAAAATGATTAAATAAGACGAAGCATACGGTAAGCGTTCGCAATAAGCGGCTTTCAAAGTAATTCCCCTTCTATTGTCTGAAACTGTATTCGCTTTTTCACGAGAAACGGTCGGCGTCTTTTTGTTCACGGAATAGATCCAGATGCGAACCATTCACGGGCCATCCCGAAATGTGATCTGCACACGCCTAGCAAGGGAATCGATGAAAAACCTCCACCTCCTCGCTCACTCTCTCTCTCTCTCTCTCTCTCTCTCTCTCTTTTGCCGCCACCCGCATTCTCCCTCCCCCTTTCTCTTCGCGTTTTGTCTAACCGTTTTTTTCTTTTTTTTTTTTTTTTTTTCAACTAAAATCTTGAACAGCCTACGATAAACGAAAAGTCGAAAAAGCGTCTGAATATTTGGAAAAGCGTATTCTCTGGGAGCCTAATGCTCATCGCAGGACTTTCATTGTGTGGTTACGCGAGTCTTGTACATAACTAACGAAATAAATGTCATGTTTACAGGTACAAATAGGCATTTGTTATGTAACACGATTCATACCCGCTTCAGTTTTTTCAAACGTTCACGATCGACTGTTTACGAACACTCGTTTTCATCTTCTGTTATCTAACTATCGAGCAATATGTTATTCTCGTATGTCGCGTTCAACCTTGGGCGTCCTCGATTTTCGCTCGTTCCAGACAAACGCGACGCGCGAAACACTCGAAATAGGAAAATTTCGATAATTTAACACGATAAGTACGCGTGAATCGATACTAACAGGTCAATTATACTCGATTCTATTAAGAAACTTCTCGAGATTCGTTCGTTTCGGCATTTTACATTATTTCAACGTAAAAGTTTCTCTTCGTCGCGATTATTCGATCGAATGAAGGAGAATTAAAAAGAATTTACACGGTAAATTCAATCTTCTTTCGTATCCTGTCGCTCACGGCGTGCCCCTTAGAAATATAACACGGATCGCTTTCTCATCGAAATAAGGTCGCTAAATAATAGATAGAAGTCTCGAAATACAAATGAATCAGCTCCCACTAACTAAAAGGTAAAGATACATACATGTGTACATTCGACAGAGTACAAGGGAGAGGCGTGCATTTTACGAATAATCCTAAAACCGTGTTGCGTTGTCTACATTTAACATAGTACAACCGAGTAATCTGTTAATGTAAAGTAAATAAAGTTTAATAAATCAAAGATTTCATACTAAACTGCTCGATTAACGATACGATCCAATTGCATTCACCTTGTTTCGCTCTCGACGCGTCGCGACATGCCGACGATAACACACACGAAGAAATTGTTACGCTCGTAAAACAGAGAAAACAGAGAAAACAGAGAAAACAGAGAAAACAGAGAAATAAAAAAGGAAATTCTTATTATGTATAAATATAAATGAAAGATACATTTTAAAACGATAAAAGATAAGTCTAAAGTTATTAAGATTGCTGGGTACCAGGGCAAAATCGAATAATATTGTTCGTATATTCTCCGCCGTTATACCGAGAACGAGATACTGTTAATAACCAATCGTAATATATAATATCCACGTATCGTTAATGGTATTGTTGCAAAATTATTTTTTTCTCGATGCTTCGTAGTCGGTAACGTGTGCACTATACAAACACAAATACGGATAAAATGTCATTTTGCATAGTAGTACGAATTTGGAATCTACAATCTGGAATAAATTGTAATTCATCGCGGTGCATTTCAATGCAATTAACCGATAATCGATAAATCATTTATACGATTGGACGAATATTTAAATATAATAAAAGGATCGGATAAAACTTATGCGATAGCATTAAATCGAGTCGGAATCGCATATCTACTATTAACGTATTGAAATATTTCAAAAAGTGGCGCCAGCATTTAATTCGTTATTTGGGAGAAACCTGTTTCGTCACTCGTGTAGAAACGAACGAGGCAATGGATACGACTTCCGGTCACGTGCTTAACCTCTTACATATTGAACCATTGCCTAGACGTTTATCACAAATATTTATTTATAACTCAAACAACGCGATAGCGACACGTGTATGTTAAAAACTATCATCTCTCTTTTTTATCTATTATGCGTTACTCGAAAGATTACTTGCGTGACGTCACAGAGGCGAGAGGAGTCGTCTGCTCGTACCGCCTAATTTTCGCTACGAGACCTCGTAGCACGTTAGCCTCGACATACACTGAGATTTCGGCCAATAAGAAAAATACGTGTGCCTTATTTTTTTTATCATTGTTAATATAACCAATCCGACACGCATTTCTTTCTTTCGAGCAACGCATAGTACACGTATACGTTGCTCGAGTTAATGCGCATGTGCGCAGTGCCACACAACTAAATAACTAACCCCGAAACACTGTAATAGCAGCTGCAGAAAGCAGTAAAGATCCGACTAACGTACGTAGTGAAACTGTTACTTTAAAGTGTGGAACTTTTAAACTCCAGAAAAAAAACGGTAAGCATGTTGCGATTGTTAAAAAAGATTCAATTACCACGATACCTTTCTACCGTGGCTAGAGCTGCACCGGACAGGAACCCGGCAATCTTCTACACGGGAGTAAGTAACCTTCTTTATATTTAACGGAATTTTCCTTACCATCTATTTCGGCGAGATCATCTTTCCATTGTTCCAAGTATCTTTCCCCACTTGGATCCACATTCGATTAACCAATCTTCCTAAAAAAAGATCTTTTATTATTTTCCCTCCTTTTCCTCCTTTCTTCTCACGCATACAATGCTTCTCGTGTATCAACACTCGACGAACGTTTATATATCATATATTTCTTACGAAAATCAAAGACAAAAGAAGCTTTGTATTCTAGAATTTGTTTCAAAATCGGACATATAAACGAAAAATGCATAAAACAAGTTTATACAACTAAACTTATCTGCTGTAAATAATATTTTAACATAATATGTATCGCATAATGAAAAATTCATGTTGCCGACTAATTACTAGTATCGTCGTATTTTAGAGAAGCAAAGTGAAACATTCGATTTGTTCGGCTTTCTTTTTCTCCAACATGCGTATTACGAAATCATATGTAATATAATCGATAATCGATAGATGTAAGATATATTTACACGTATCATTTCGTGTCGGATTTCATAATAGCGTCTGTGCACGCTGTGTTAAGAATAAAGGCTATCGACACTACCTTTCCTATCATTTCTTTTATATTTACAGTTTCAACGTAATATACGGCTACGCCTCGTACAGAATATCGAAGCGATATCACCGGAACAATTTTTTTTATAAACTTGCTTAGTACAAAAATTTATTCGAACAACGATATTATTACAGATTTTTATCGATAACGAATGGCACCGATCACGGTCAGGAAATACGTTTCCTACGATAAATCCAGCAACTGGTGCAACAATTGCAGAAATACAAGAAGGCGATGCTGCAGATATCGATATAGCGGTACAGGCAGCCAACAAAGCCTTTAAATTCGGTTCGCCATGGAGAACCATGGATGCTTCTCAACGAGGTGTATTGTTAAACACGTTGGCTAATTTAATGGAACGTGACCGTGCTTATCTCGCGGTAAGAACATTTGCGCATTATATAGAATACTGTCTGAAAGGACAAGTATCGATAACGGTTAAGAATTTTATATGCTTCAGTCTTTGGAAACATTAGACAATGGTAAACCTTACTCGATGGCATATGAATTTGATCTACCGGCTAGTATATCGACGTTACGATATTATGCAGGATGGGCCGATAAAAATCATGGCCAAGTAATTCCTGTCGACGGAAAGTATTTAGCATACACTCGCCACGAACCTGTCGGTGTTTGTGCACAAATTATCCCATGGAATTTTCCCATCTTAATGATGGCTTGGAAACTAGGCCCTGCCTTAGCCACTGGTACGTATGTAATAACTCTATACGCGATGTACACGAATTGACCAATCAAAATTATATTATACGACATCGACGACCATGATTTGCCTTTCTCGTTTACACCTAATTATCCTAACAGGGAATGTTATCATACTGAAGCCTGCAGAACAAACATCCCTAACAGCTTTATACATAGCTCAATTAACCAAAGATGCTGGATTTCCTAGCGGTGTAGTGAATGTTGTTCCTGGCGATGGCAAAACTGGTGCTGCACTAGTCACTCATAATTTAGTTGATAAAGTAGCATTTACTGGTTCAACCGAAGTTGGAAAATTAATAAAACAGGGCGCCGCGACGAGCAATTTAAAAAGGACCACGTTAGAACTTGGTGGAAAATCTCCAAACATCATCTTTAGAGATGCCGATCTCGACCATGCTGTGGAAACAGCGCATTTCGCACTATTTTACAACATGGTAGCATTACATATTTTTGATTCCTGAACAAAATATATGCGTATACGCTTACTGTAACGTTACATTTTGTTTCACTAGGGTCAATGTTGTTGCGCTGGCTCAAGAACATTTGTCGAAGATAGTATCTATGATGAGTTTGTGGAACGAAGTGCCGAACGTGCTAAATCTAGAGTTGTTGGCGATCCGTTCGATTTAAACGTAGAACAAGGTCCACAAGTATGTAATTATACCATGACGCGCAATCGAAACAAAAATAACACGTGTGTAAGTTAAATTAAACCTTTCCTATGTTTCATTTCTCTTTTTATCCATAGATCAACGAAGAGCAAGCAAACAAAATTATGTCCATGATTGAAACGGGTAAAAAGCAAGGAGCAAAGCTAGTTTCTGGTGGTACGAGAGTTGGTGATAAAGGATACTTTGTCGCACCTACGGTATTTGCCAACGTTGCGGATCACATGACCATCGCTAAGGAGGAGGTATATACGAATCAGCTTATAAATTATCTTATTTAAGCACAATATGCGAAGCAACTGCGAATAACGTAATGATATTCGTTTACAGATTTTCGGACCAGTTCAACAAATTTTGAAATTTAGCAGCTTAAACGAAGTCATTACACGTGCAAACGCTACGGATTATGGATTAGCGGCAGCAGTATTTACGAAAGATATCGACAAAGCAAACTATGTGGTACAAGGGCTCCGAGCTGGTACTGTGTGGTACGTTAACTTATAATTCGTTCATTTATCCCTTTTCTTTTTTTTATACACATATATAAAAATGTCAGTGGAAAACAAACATTTTAATAATTTAGCAACTCATTTATTTAGCTTTTAAATAATAAGTGTATCTTCATTAACTTTTGAAGATGCAAATTGTAATGGTAGCGAAATATAAATTGTAACATTTGTTCGAAATTTGTTCCTATGTCTCTTTCATTCTGTTTACAATATCTGTTACAGGGTTAACACATACAATGTCCTAACACCCCAAGTACCCTTTGGTGGTTTTAAAATGTCGGGACACGGAAGAGAACTCGGACAATACGGTCTTGAAGCATACACCGAAGTTAAAAGTGTCATAGTTAAAGTTAATCAGAAGAACAGTTAAGATATTGCATCTTGAATTTCTTTGTACACGATTCTTGAAAAAATTTGCAAAATTTTTACAGCTTTTGTACCTTTATATTATTTTTTTAACATATATTATTAAATAGTTGAAACATAAAGAGATAGTAACCTTGCATCTTTGTATATTAAAAAATAGAATATAGGTTCAAGAATAAAACACATAAATAAAAGTTAAGTACAACGGTGCTCGCGTAGACGTCTGGTTACTGCTCAATTTAATATCTATCAGTATGCGTCTAAACTGTATACGCTTAAGCGAACAATACTATATTTATTAACAGTACTGTATTTTTATTAGATTTGTATCATTAATAAAATGTGATATTACTTTAGTGTACAACTTATAAAAATATAATTAATAAATAATTTAATCTTTTTACATTTAATGTTTTATAACACTTACTTAATACTTATGAAGTTTATGGGACACAAACGTCTATTGAAAATTTACAATAACATCCTTGCCATCGTCCCCACAATATGTTTAAGTATACTCGCATATATGACCGCAACCGGTAGGACATTGTCGGTTACAACTGAACCACTCGTTCATATGCACAACATGACCACCGTGTGTACATCCCTGACACCACGCGTAAATTCCTCGAACAACCTATAAACATAAGGTGCGTGAAAACAGTATAGGGGTACAATCGTGTTCCAATAACTCACCTGATGACAAACCGAACAGAGTGCATGATGAGACGAATGACATCGATCACAAAACCATGCCGCTCGTTGCAATGGTTTCGTACAAGTTAGGCAACATGCGTGTATTATAGTTGACTGTTGATTTAATTGTGATACAGATGGAATCCAGACCGATTGAATAATCTGTCAATACACATTGAACGTTACTGTGCTTCTCATTAAGATTATTTAATAAGAGCTTGTCGCTAACCTGTGTAGCTACATTCCAGAGTTTAAATTTTGCAAGCATATCTAAATACTCTAATATCCAATGTTCTTGAACAGCAGTTTCGATGTTCAAGTTTTTCCGTTTCTCCCCTAACGCGATAAGAATTGATGCTGACGTTTGTATATCTCTGAGAGCGGCATGATGCTTCAAAGCCTCTTCGATCAAGTTCGTAGGGTCCCAAAATTGTGGTTTAGGTATATTCGAAACTATTAACTGACTCGGTTGATCTTCAATCATCAACGAAGCACAGTCTTCGTTAATATCCGGTGGATGATTCGGAAATTGTTCCGGTGGTGGAGATCTATCCTTTATTTCGTGCCGCAAAGGAAACGCTTCTTTGGACAATGTCCAATCGTTATCGTTGTTTATCATATTATGCATGTAACTAGAAGTATATTCCATTGTCACTGGTTCAAATTCACTTTCCCCAAATAAGAAATCTCCTTTAGATGGTCCTTTGTGATCAATGAATGCTCGTCTGTAACTAGACATTATTATATGGAAGAAAAACAATATTAATGTAACAAGTAAGGTCAATAGCATATAGAACATTTTCAATCCATAATTTATTTTCAACGTTACCTAGGTAACATAGACCCTATAGAATGTTGATTCTCCGGCGTTTCATCTGTTTCTGTTTCATCGTCACCTCCGCTAGTTGCACCTGTTACTTCTCCTTGTAAAGATCTTACATCGTTTTCGTGTGCTTAAAAAGCATAACACAAACATAGTTAAAAGTCTGCAAAACTTCAATTACACATAAAAATTATACCCAAGATCTTACCCCAAGATATTGTCTACTTATAATGATATCTTTACCTGTATTTGATTGATCAATACCAGATCCCATTGTTATCTGTGCTAAATTTAATGTATTCACTATATCTTCTTTGGAAGCAGTTGGAGGTGTTTTCAAAATAGCACCCATAGGATTGGCATATAAAGTTTTTATAATATTCCACACGGTACTAATCTGGTTAAAGTTGATTTTTTTGCATTATTAACAATATTGTACTTATATAAATACGAGGTACAAGGATTTTAAGCTGAACAACTGCGTACATCATTTCTACCGGCGTTTCTGGCGACAGTGGCATTATGGTCACAAATATCATTTAACCTTCCAGAAAGCAAATAACCTTCTGCACAAGCTCTAAACCATTTTGGTTCTCGCGGCATGTTTATAACAAACCTATGCATAACGCTGGATGCCATACAGAAGGTATCATTTGTTGCTGGTGTTTTTCTACAAATAAATATTAAGTAGTAACGTCACTGTTTACATTTAATTAATTTCCTAGAGGTCCCATTTAAATAGCGACTTTATTAACCTCATGATGTTAGTCAATTGTTTCATTGTAGTTGTAACATGAACATTTACTTTACAAGCATATGCAATATCTCCTTTTGGATTCAATGCAATACCCTGTGGATTCGCTTTACTTGCAGGTCTAGTAGCATCTTTGAAAACATGGTGATACAATGTACAATCCTGCATAAAAAGTACTTTTAATAAAGTATAAACAATATGTATAATGCTTTACTGTATTTAATGGTGCTATCATTACCCTGCTAGTCGATAAGAATGATTGTGGATTGCCTCTCCATGCAACCCCAGTCGGGACATCTTTATGTTCGTTAAAACTTGCAAAAGGTATGTAAGGTCTACGAATATCCCACACATTTATACTGCAGTCTACTACAAGTGCACAACTGGATATATGATATTTTCTTTGAGGTCTCCATTTTATACGGCCAACTGAGGCTATTGTATGTATAACATAATCACAACTAGGTTTACCTAGTAAGTCCCAAACCTGTACCATTTTTTCCGTTTTGCATATATTAATTTTAAGCCAAGCGAGAAACACATTTTTTTTAATTCGATTAATACCTTCACATTTCTAATAAATGACCTCATTATTTGCTATAATGTAAATAATTGAAAGTTACCTTAATAGTTTTATCTCTAGAAGCAGTTGCAAGCCAAATAGTTTCAGGGTGCCAATCACAGGCAAATATGGGACCACTGTGAGCAGTAAAATGTTGATAGTAACGATCTGGTTTGCGCAAGTCCCACTGTTGTACATGTCCATTTTCAGAAACAGCAGCAAAAGTATGTGGTGAATGAGGACAAAATTGTACATCCCTCACCGATTCAGTATTACTGAAATCAACAATATTTTCTAATATTTTTTATTATACACACACTATATAATGTATCCTTGCACTATTTACCTATAGAAGGTTTTAGTAGCTTCCTTTATTCTTAAATCAAAGCATTTCATAGTACCATCTTGAGAACCTGATATTAACCACATTGGTTCTGTCATATGAAAACTTACTTTATTCACAGTCCTTTTATGATCAATAAAAACATGTTCCTGTTTGGATCTAGATGATTTATTTAAATTCCATACCACTACTGCCCCATTTGTAGCTGCAGTTGCTAATATGTGATCTAAAGAATATAGACGTTAATTAAAATGATTTCAGCGGATAAGTGATAGAAATATTCGTTAAAGGGGGAATAAACAAGTTTGGACAGCATCAAGTTTACCATCAATAAGATTCCAAGCAACATCATTACAAGAAAAATTCAAATTTAAGTTCTTTCCAACACGTAAATTACAAGCTTCTTCAAATCTGTCTTCTAATAAAGTAAATATTTTGAAAACTGTAATGCAAAATAATTGATTATCCATTAACCATGCATATCGCTTTTAGTTGATTACTTTGATACAAGAAGCAATGATAAATAATATTGTTTTTGTAGAAGATTCTTAATAAGTCTGTATCATTAAATAACCTACCATTGCGTCCTGCTATAACAACTTGACTGTTATCTTTATTAAGTGCCAATGCATTTGCTGGACCTTCTTGAGTGATGCATACAGTTTTGGAAATCATGATGAAACTCTTTTGAAAATATCTATCAAATCTGTTAACCACAATGTATCACATATATATAAGTATAGCTATTTTACATATTAATTTTCAATTAAAAACTTATTTTTCTCCAAACTATACTGCAAATCCATATTTCAGAAATTAAGAAATAAATACATTTTGATAAAATTATTAGTGACAACGTCAAAAATAAGATACAATATTAAATCTTTCTTTTTAATTTCTACATTTTGTTGAATTCCTAGCAGTTCGTATCAAATATTATAAAATGCTTATATACTTCGCACATGCACAATGTGGAATATGTTTTTGTATATACACATTTCGATCCTATTATTTACAATGAAAAAAAGAAAGGCAATCGTAATGATAAAACATAATATAAGAACATTAAACATTAACAGCTAAAAATGACAAACATTACTTTGTCGCATTATCGAGATTTTTCGTTTTCCTCGTCTGATGAAATACAAATAAGAATAAAGAAGTAAACAATTGACTTAGCAATTCATTAAATAAGAATATTAATTTAATAAATATAAAATTTTAACATTTCGTATTGAGTTGCAAGGGAGCGCTGACAGACAAGAGGTAAACTTGCAGTACTTCTGGTTGATGTTTGTAATCTATATCGTACTACTTGTTCATGCAATATCGTACACAACGTTGCAGACGAAACATCAATTTTAAATTTTCTCGAATTGAAAGAGTGAGACTGGTGAAGAATGATGTCTGA